GGTTAAAAGAAATACTAAGGATGATCTGGATCCGTGGACCCACTAAAGTCATCAACATCATCTCTCCCTCTGTTCTTCTCTACAATTGATAAAAACCCTCAGTCGATGAAATATCTTCTAGCAGTTATCACTAATGTTCTTTCTTCTATCCGATAAAAAACAACAAAACCGATATTAGTATAATGACTATAATCTCTGCCTTTTGCACATCTAATCTGGAAAAGTATCTTTCCAAAATCCTAACTTGTGAATATCTGACTTCTTAAGTCATTAAGTTGTGTTGAGAACCAACACTGGACTTGGAAAAAATTTCTAGATATGACCCCGAAAGCATAATTCATAATAATTGATAGTGTGAATTTCATCAAAATTAAAATATTTTGCTTTTCAAAGACAGTGTTAAGTGAACAAAACATAGTTTTAGGTAAGTGCATACACATATTTTTACATATATATATATGTAGATAGATAGATAAACAGTAATTTCTAAGTTTCATATTTTGTTTTCTTAAGTTGCACTTTTTTATAATAAATGAAAGCTGTCTGACCTGCTATAATGCATTATCCTGTTTAGCGCATCTTGTATTCCTTTAAGTCTTTTTACAATATCTTTTTTTTTGTTAGTGTTAGGTGATACTTAAAGAATCCTAGAGTTTGCCTTGTTTTAGATGTGTGACTGGACTCTAGAAAACAAGTGCGAATCTATTGCATACTTCTGGCACTATACCAGAAGCCACATCAGCCACAATACCTAGAGTGAACACTAGATCTTCCTTTCCAAACTAGGATATTTCTTACATATGTATAACCATTCATATTTGTGAATCATATGAAAAAGTATTCTTCCCTTCTGAGTCACATTCAATTCAACATCTTTGAGGTATCAAAGAACCATGCTTAAATTTTTCTTCTTTGATTTTCTTGACCAGTTTCCACCACCCACCCACACACTTATGAAAGAAATAATATGTGAATGCTTATTTTATATATTCGTCATGTCAGGCTTACCATTACCAAGTCAATGGGTTGGAATCCAGGCAACTCAGGGTCAGAAGTTGAAGATGCTGTCACTGGATATGTGTGTGTGTGTGTGTGTGTGTGTGTGTGTGTGTGTACGCTCAGTTGCACTGTCATGTCCAACTCTTTGAGGCCCCACGGACTGTAGACTACCAAGCTCCTGTGTCCATGGAATTTTTCAGGCAAGAATACTGGAGTGCAGTGCCACTTCTTACTCCAGGGAACTTCCAAATCCAGGATTCAACCCATGTCTTCTGTGGCCCCCAAAAGAGAAGCATCAAATTATCATTCTATTTGACCTAATAATAGCTTCAATTGCTTTCTCACAAGCAGTTATTTATGCTGATGAGGGAGAACTGAATTACAAGTGGATTTTGAAAGTCATTTTAATACATGAAGGAAGTTAATTAGTACAAATTATTTGTGAAAATTTATTTCCTGTTGCTGGACTTAGGGCATTTCAATGTTCATACTCATAATTCACAAATCATCATGGATTCAATCAAGTCTGTTAGAATGTGAGAACCAGACACACTCATTTCTGTGCTTTCTTTGTTACCCAATAATTCAAGGGTATCCTAAACCACTGGAAAGTGGCTTCAGAAATTTAATCAGAAACAGAGAAAGTTAATAGTCTGATACTTTTGGACTGAAATGCATTCATGAGCAGAAATCTTCTTCCTTCAACTTTCTCATATTCTAAGAAGGGTTTGTTAGATCAATCATACATTCCTTAAAAACTTTATTACATAATATAACTTCTGTAATCTTCAAAACACATAGAATATAATGAAGATCTATACAAAATGTACTCTGTATAAATCTAGAAGACATATCTATAGACTCTTGAAAATAACTTGATTGCTGCCTAACTGGTATGTGAAAATAACATGATTTATAATAGATGCTACACTCTTACATCAACACACTAAGACAAGTTGTTATGGACCAGTGGTATCTCAGGAATTGTTGGAAATATGTATAACATTTAAGATGTTATAGTTTATGAAATGTGCAAAGAAGATGACTTATAATGACAAACACCAGTGTTTGCCCCTGCAGCCTCTTTTGTTGATGAAATTAGACATTTATTATTATAAATGAGTTTTTACAATGACAAAATGAGAGACATTTAGGGAAGATAGGTATTATAATAATTAATAAATTTTTGTACTTAAGTGTTTGTGAAACTTTCCTTTTCTGAATTGTGCAAGAGCCACTACACTCAACTGTTCTCATGATGTTGGTTAGAATCATAAGGATATACCATCTATTATGAAGATTTAGCCAGATCAGCTTATCTTTTTGCTTTTCAAGAATGCTTGATGTCTATAAAATAAGGGAACTATGGCATTAGTTGGTATTAATTCTGCAGCATGCTCGTTCAGAGTTTCAGCTTTTATCCTGGAGAGGATAGCATACAAATCTATACCATCATCCACAATATCTAGAGTGAACCCTAGATTTTTCCTTCCAAACTCAGATATTTTTTTCCATATGTATAACCTTTCACATGTAAGTATCATATGAAAACGTATCCTTCCCTTCTGATACACATTCAATTCATCAGTCTTTGAAGTATCAGGGTTCAAAGAACCATGCTTGACTTTTTCCTCTTTGATTTTCTTGACCAATTTCTACCACCCACACATGCACTTATAAAATAAATAAAATGTGAATACTTATTTTATATAAATGCTTTTGTATTAATATAAATACACAGACTTGCAAAAGTGAAACTTCAACTCCCAATTATAGAGGTAGAATTTATTTCTACGAGTGAGACCATTTCAGGCCAGTTGGGTGGGGAAAATATCTGCAAAACTTAAAAAATATTGCAACTCATAAACAGAAGTGAAATAAAGAGACAGGCTGGTATTTTTTAATGATGAAAATTTTCACTAATGTTGCACCATAATCTGCGATATTGCCTTGGGAATCATCCTCAGAAAAAAATTTCTCTGTAGCTATGGGACCTATTGAAATATAATATGATATTGAAAGACTCACCTCCCTCTCTGGAGCTACAATCTAGTACCATAAATGTTTCAGTGAATAGTAGATAAAGACAGTTAATGGTTGTAGGGTGCCTGGAAGACTTCTCCAAATCATAAGAATGAATCTGTGAGTGGGTTTTCAGTCATAAATGGGCAAATTTGCTTCTGTATTGTCTTTTCGTTTGGGGGGGGAGGAGAACACTAAACTTGGAATCAGATTTGAGTATGACTTGATCTTCACTTTTCAGTTTTAGTAAAGTTTCTCTTTCTGAATGTCAGTGTTCTTTTTTTTAGAAATTGGGATTCATTACCACTACTTCACAAGGATTTTGCAAGAATTAAGAGATCATAAAATTACATTATAACAAATAAGAAATATAAACATATCTTTATTTTAAAGTTATTATTTTGAATGAATGTTAGAAAGGCAGAATTAGTAACTCAGCAGATGCTCCTATTGTTCTTTGTGGGAGAGCCAACTATACCATCTAACAGATGTAAGAACTTGGTCAATTTTCTTAAACTCTTTGTGCCTCAGTTTCCTAATGTAAACAGGAATTAACCCTACCCGCCTCAGAGAATTGTAGTAAGGACTAAAGGTGGTAATGTACATGAAGTATTCAGTAGTGCCTGGACATATTTCTATTAACATAACTCAGGTTTTATCTCTTTTAATTAATTAATTTTTATATTTTTAAAAAACTGGATTATAATTACTTTACAAGCATGTTGTGTTATTTTCTGCTATATAACAGCAAGAATCAGACACATAGACACATTCCCTCCCTCTTGAGCCTCCCTCTTACCTTCCTATCCCACACCTCTAGGTCATCACAGAGCACCGACCTGAATCACAGGTAGGAACCTGCGCTATACAGCAGGTTCCTACTTGCTTCAAAGAAAAATAAAAAACTACACACCAAACACAAAAGCATCCCAAAGAGTTTCTGTCATTTTAAAGGACTCTTGCTCAGCGGCATTCTGGCCTTCCCCATGGCACGTGTCTATCTTATAATAAGATACATTAAGAATGCTATTAAGCGGTTATTGTAACTTTTATAATGATATTCATAATTCTTATTGTTATAGAGGCAGACAGATTTATCATATTTAAATCAAAGTCATCCGCTCAATAGGAGAATCACTTGTTAAATTTGTGCCTCTGCAGATATATTTGAGAAAATGAACAAAGTAATAAAGGCAAAGAATTACAGAGGATATTAAGGGTGCAGGTGGGAAAAAATTGCATTTAAATTGGGAATGCAAGTTCTTCATATCTGAAAGAATATCACCCTACAAATAATCAAACCCTTATCATGATGAGAACACAACACTTAACAAGACAACTTAGCCATTAACTTGTTCCTATACTGAAGCAAAATCTAACTTTTTAGTTTAGATTTAGTTCCACTTTTGTACACACCATTTGCAATGGATGAGCACCCAGAACATATACATAGCAGCTCTTCAATTATTTGAAGATGAAAATCAGGTCTCAGCTTCTCTAAGTAAAAATTCCTGGGAGCTTTCACAGTAGAAAAGTTAGAAATTTGACTCTGCAGACATGAGTTTTAATCTCAGACCAGTTATTTTCTAGCTACATGATCAGGTTACTAAAAACTCCCCATGCTTTTTATGTCTTCTTTAACTTAATAAGGTTGTTTCTGAGACTTAAATTTAAAAATAAAAGAAATTAGCATAACACTTGCAAATAGTCAAAAGCTGTTATTTTAATTAAAGCATTTTCATATGGAATAATTTCACTTAAATGGAATAATTTCAATAAATTCACTTTATATATTTATAATGTTGCTTTAAAAGTATTTAGCTTATTAATGATGCTTTGTAAATTACACTTCCTAGAAGGACACATAAGGTGATAATTAAATAATTGCTTATCCTTTATTAAATAGTTTCTTGGTTTGACATCAGTGCTGACACTTTGGAGACCTGTATTCTGTGTTGAAGTACAACATTCTAACACAGATGAGGAACGTCTCACTGGTGAATGAGTTTATTCTGCTGGGCATCCCGCACGCAGAGGACCTAGAGACCATGCTCTTTGTCCTGTTTCTGTCCTTCTACATCTTCACCCTTATGGGGAACCTGCTCATCCTACTGGCGATTGTCTCCTCCGCTCGGCTGCACACTCCCATGTACTTCTTCCTGTGTAAACTGTCTGTGTGTGACATATTTTTCCCCTCTGTGAGTTCCCCCAAGATGCTCTTCTACCTCTCAGGGAACAGCCGAGCCATCTCCTACGCAGGCTGCGTGTCCCAGCTCTTCTTCTACCACTTCCTGGGTTGCACCGAATGTTTCCTGTACACGGTAATGGCCTATGACCGCTTTGTTGCCATATGTTACCCTCTGCGCTACACAATAATCATGAGTCACAGAGCGTGTGCCATCCTGGCCATGGGCACCTCGCTTTTTGGGTGCATTCAGGCCATCTTTCTAACTACACTCACCTTCCAGTTGCCCTACTGTGGCCCCAATGAGGTGGACTATTACTTCTGTGATATCCCAGTGATGCTAAAGCTGGCTTGTGCAGACACCTCGGCACTAGAGATGGTGGGGTTCATCAGTGTGGGTCTCATGCCCCTCAGCTGCTTCCTTCTCATCCTCACCTCCTACAGCTGCATCGTTTACTCCATTCTTCAAATCCGATCGGCCGAAGGCCAAATTGGCAATAAAAAACCTAGGCCTTCTGTCCCTCACTCTTTGTCTTCCTCTCTTCCTAATCCTCTCCTGTTCCCTTCTCCCTTACCCTAGCACTTCCTCATCTTGGCTGACATGATTATATGATTAACCTCTCAAATGCCTGCAGCAGAAAAGCCCTCATTTGTTGGTCTAGGGATTGTAGAAAAATGGGAAGGTTTCAACCATATGTCTTGCAGTGGTACTCTGTGACTTCTGAAATGAAAAGAAACTGTGTAAAGTAGAGGACCTCTGGGTGAGACCTCAGGACCTTTGCCTCTTAATGACTGAATCATAGGTATCAGTGCACTGTATCACCCACAAAGTCTGCCTGTTGGTCTTCAATCTGAAAACAAGATTTGATTGGGATTTGAAGCTGTAGATGAAAGAGAATGTGAAGAAAGTAGCCAGGAGGAGTCTGTGAAGCGGTGACTAATTCTGTTGTTTTTCAGTATTCAAAATTTTAGTTTGTCTTTATAATCCCAAGCCTAATCATCAGTCCATGCAAAATCTAAGCTGCGATTGTTCCATGGTATTGAATACTTTGCTTACCAGAAAGCTGTGACTTTAATGCTGCCCCTCTTTCTTTTTTCATTTGTCTAATGAGCTCAGCATAAGATACGTGCTATTTTAGTCCAGGCAGAGATTTGAAGGAAAGTGAAGGGTGAGATGAGGCGAGAAGGCGGTGATGGGAAAAGAAAGGAGTGATTGGAAGGGAAGAGAGTGATTGGTGATTGAAAGAGAAAGGGGTAATGTGAAGAGAAAGATGTGATGAGAAGTTAAATGGATGCTGGGACAGGAGAAGAAGAGGTAGAGGCCAGTTGGCTCTTCTTTTGTTTATTTTCAGGATCAGAGTTCAATCAGGGATTCTCCCACACTTGAATCAATCACAACATTGTGTTTAAAAGCTCATATCAGGGTGATGAGGTGATGTGTGTTTTTAAAGGGAAGAACATTTCTCCTGCTCATTTCTCTTAAACCCTGTGCCTTTTATTCTAACAGAAATGCTCCTTCCAGAGTGTTTAGTAGAACAAATTCATTCTTATCACTGTTAGTTGCTCAATCATGTCTGACTCTTTGTGACCCCATGGACTGTACCCTACTAAGCTCCTCTGTCCATGGAAAACTCCAGACAAGAATACTGGAATGGGTAGCCATTCTCTTCTCCAGGGGATCTTCCCCACCTAGGGATCGAAACTGGATCTCCTACACTAGCAGATTATTTACCACCTGAGCCATCAGGGAAACCCACTAAAGACCCAGTTAAAATATTTCCTGTGTGAAACCTTATACTAAGCAAGTCAGGCTCTCAATTCTCTGTGTTTTAAGTCAGACTTAGCAAAAACATCCCTCCACCGTACTAGGATAAGTTTTAGCAAAGCTTTATCAAAGAGTGAAAGTCAAGTAGGTTCAGGGAAGGTAAGGAGAAAACAAGAGTTAGTTGGGGATTGACTATATGGAATCAACAGTTCATTTGTTGAACAGAAGAAATTCTGAGTCCCAGATGAGTTTTTTTGTTTGTTTGTTTGTTTGTTTGTTTGTTTTCCATTTATTTTTATTAGTTGGAGGCTAATTACTTTACATCATTGCAGTGGTTTTTGTCATACATTGAAATGAATTAGCCATGGATTTACATGTATTCCCCATCCCGGTCCCCCCTCCCACCTCCCTC